ATTAGTTTCCACCCATTGCTTCTTGTCCTGCCCTCAGGTGCCTTGGAGAATAGCTTGACTCCCTCTTCTTTGGGGCAACCCCTGAGATATTGGAAAACTGCTATCCTGTGTCCCCTAGTCCTTCTTTTCATAAAACTAGACATACCCAATTCCTGCAACCGTTCCTCATATGTTTTAGCCTCCAGTCCCTTAATCCTCTTTGTTGCTAAATAAATAAAGACAAAAATATATGAAGATCAAATCAGATGCCTATGGAGATTCTCTATCCTCCAGGTCATGGTTGTCCCAAAGGTGCTTTTTCAAGAGGCAACTGGACTTTCTTCTTTTTCTTTGAAGACATTTTGATTCTCACCCAAGAGGTTTCTTGAGCTGGTGGGTGGGAAATGGAAGGATTTGTACTCTTTGCAGGCAGCTGGTCATTAAATCCTTCCATTCCCCACCATCCAGTCAGAGCTGAAGAAGCTTCTTGGATGAGAATTGAAACGTCTTCAAAGAAAAAAGTCCAGTTGCCTCTTGGAAAAAAGCACCTTTGGGACAATCCTATCAGAAGTTTCTTTAGAACTCCTAAAGAGAGAAACGACAAAAGAAACAATTCCCCAAACCAATTAATTGCATTTACTAGTGTGTGGGGTGGAAGTAACATCCAAAAATTTCCTGGTGTACTATGTGGGCAAGACTCCTTGCGTCTCGTTGGCTTTCTAGCTATTCAGTGCAATTAACTGTAGATTAAACAAATGCACAAGATAATTATTGTGTGGGCCACATATAAATTCTGGAATAAAGGAGTTAGGATTGTCACAGCATGGGTAGAAAAACGTATGAAAAGGGGCACAAATTGCGGTGGAGGTAAGGCACATCTTCCTCCATCTGTAGTCAATGCCAATGACATCAACGGAGGGCAGAAGGACGGGAAGACATTCCAGGGTGAGGACTACTAGGGAGGCAGATATTCAGGCTTGTCTGCAGCTGGCACAAAGAGGGGAGGGAGATGTACCAGGTTGACCCTCTTGTGCAACAGAGATCGAACTGCAGACTTGCACAAGATTGTAAACTTAACCCAGAGGACTTTTCCTTCTGGTCATGGACAACATCACATTATCAAACCTTTGTAAAACTTTGAACAGTCAATTGCTCCAACAATTATTAAGTTCTCTGGTGACTTACTTTTTCTTGTTTTTCTTACTTTCCAGAAAGCTTTCTTCATTCTGATCTTCTTCTCTCTCATGCTGGCTACGTATCAACAAGTATGCATTGGGAGGCTTTTTCTCCCAGAGATTATAGATGGTAACCCAACTCCTTATTCACCTGAACAAATTGCAAAGGACTAATCATGCCAGGAGAAATTATAGATTATATGTTGATCCAGGTTTTCTGTCAAAAGTCTCCTAACTGGGCCCAGAAACACCTTCAGTATTAATGAAGAAGTCATTTGATCATATGTGGTACATTCAAAGCTCATAAATGAATGAAATGAAATGATGAAATGAAACAAAACAAAATGATATGAAGCAAATGGTAGAGTACACACACACACACACACATGCAAACACACACACACACACACACACACACACACACACACACACACACACACACACACACACACACACACACACACACAGAAGTAGTCCTCAGCTACAGAACAATTAAGTCCAAAATTCCTGTTGCTGAGACAGTTGTTTAGAGAATTTTGTCCCACTTTATCTTTCTTGCCAAAGTTGTTAAGTGAATCCCTTCAGTTGTTAAGTGATTAACATGTTTGTTAAGTGAATCTGGCTTCCCCATTGAATATGCTTGTTAGAAGGTTGTAAAAAGTGACCCCATGACCCCGGGACCTTCCAACCTATGAATCAGTTGCCAAGCATCTGAAGTTTTGATCACGTGACTATAATGATTGTGAAAAACAGTTCATAAATCATTTCATTCAGTGCCATTGTAACTTTGAATTCTCACCAGTGGTGGGTTGCAGGTGGTACACCCCAGTACGGGCATACTGAAGCCTACCTGGATCACCAGGTACCGTTCCAGTATGGTGCTCCGGAGGGCCCACCTGCCCACCCACCTGAGCTCCTTACCTGTCCTTTAAAGTCTTCGGCTCTTCTGTGCAAATGCACGGTGCATACAGAGCCTGCGTGACGCGATGCTGAACAGCTGGAGCATCGCAGAGGCTTGTGGACGCATTGCTGGATAGTACGACACATGTGCATGCTGCACATGTCCTTGTGGATGCCGCCGTGCCTATTCCAACCGTACCAGTTGGAACGGGATCCAGAACCCACCACTGATTCTCACTAAGCAAATCGCTGTACGTTGTGGAGTACCTGTATTTGTCCCTTAGTAAATTGATATTGTACTTTGTCTATTAGCAGTTTTCTGAAAGGAGCCTTCAACTCTAAGTAGATGGTTTTTCAGGGTGGTTTGACAATTTGTGTACAGTTGCAAATTCAACTTGACTTCCTCCCCCTTAGGGAAAGAGGTGTGGCCTAGCACATGTACTGATTTCGATGATAACATAAAGCATCTCATTGGGTCCACCTGGAAGTCACGTGATGGCTCCAGCTGTGAGTGCCGCAGAGATGGATTGCATTGTTGCAGGTGGGTTAAAGCTTACAAGCAACCGTCAGATATTTCAATTTTCTCATGTGTTCTCCTAAGATTCATGGATACATATAAAACTTTATATCTAGGACTCCAGAGGTACCTATAGCACTGCCTGCCAACGTTTAGGGACACCAGGGACCGGAGAGAAATTTTCTGTGAACGAGAGGGTGAGTAGATCCACATGTTTCCTGTGTCCCATGGATGGTCCCTTGCTTCTTTCTGCGGCACAGTTTCTGGCATGCCACAGACCAGTGCTGGTCCATGGACAGGGGTTTAACAGATTAACAGAGTTGGAAGGGACCTTATAGGTCATCTAGTCCAACCCCCTGCCCAAGCAGGACACCCTACTCCATTTCTGATCGATGGCAATCTAGTCTCTTCTCTGCACTTTTTCTAGAGTCTCGAGATCTTTTTTATAATGTGGACGCAGAATTCTAGGTGGGACCTTACTAGGGCTTTATAGAGTGGTATTAGTACCTCACTTGATTGTATCCCTCTATTAATGCAACTTAGGATTGCATTGGGTTTTTTTTGGCTGCCGATGCACACTGCTGGCTCATCTTTAGCTGATTATCCAGTAAGGCTCCCAGATCCCTCTCACAGTCACTGCTATTAAGCCTGATTTCACCCAGTTTATATATGTACTTTTGGGTTTTTTTTACCTAAGTGTAGGACTTTACTTTTCTCTACATTGAATTTCATTCAATGTTCAATGAAATTCAATGTTCCAGTTTTCAAGTCTGTCAAGATCCATCTGGTTGGGAACCCCCGACCTAGAGTGCTGCTCAAAGAAGAGGATGGGTGAGGCCAACTGAGCAGAAATAAGCGGCAATATTAGGACAAACCTTATAGTGATAGGAATGGGAAATTGTAATTGCCTTTCTGACTGTATTGGATTTGTAGCAAATCAACCAGCAGCCCTATAGGTCTCTATAAGGGGGAGGTGGGGAGGTAAACACCCTTCCACCAGATGTTTGCCCAGCCTCTTTATGATTTCGGAATAACAAAGGGATAGGGTAAGATTGATGAGCATGCTTGTGATGGGTTGTTAGTGTTGACTATGGTGCCAGGTTTTTACAATGTGTGGTTTTAATGCACACATTTACATTAATTGTGCTATGATGCGGCCTTAACTGCTGGCTGGTATCCATTCTTTTTCATTATTAGATGGGTTGCTAAAAAATGATTTCAATAAATATTTCATGATTGCCCCCCATAGCTAATCTAGGTTAATAGGTGACCTACTCCTTTCTGGCTAATTATATTAACTTTGGAGAAGTTGAGCTAGATGTTTGTCTTTCTTAAATATTTACTTACTTACTTACTTACTTACTTACTTACTTACTTACTTACTTACTTACTTACTTACAAAATGCATAGGCTTCCCAACTTACTTAAAGGTAATTATCTTTCCAATGCTGAGCAAGCAATATTATGTGGAGACCCAGGATTGTTGGGTGCAGAAGGGAGTAGAGAAAGTGAGGCTGGCAAGGAGCAGGATTTCTCCTTGCTTCCCTTCCTTTTCCTGGCCATCAGGACTGGGGAATACCTGGGCTGTCATTATGTACATCCTGCTGGCCATGTTTGCAGATCTCCAAGAAGCTCCCTATCCATATCACGATCAAACACGGGATCATCCAAAATCATATGTGGAATATATGTCCCAAACTTTGAGATTTCTCTATGCCAATGAAGATGTCCAAGAACTGGGTGTTTAGAATCAAATCAAATCTTGGTAGAATCAATCTTTCTCCCAGGAAGACTCAAAAGTTCTCTACAGGTTCTAAGGTGACAAATGATCTTAGAGGTCCTTACCAATGAAGGCCAACTTTGACTGACCATACCCTCTTCTTCTTCTTCCTCCTCCCCATCCCATTTTTTCCAAAGACATGTTGGTGCCTACCCTCGTCTGGGATGCAAAACAGTGGTAAATCCAGAAACATGTGAATATTTGTTTTATCTGACTGATGCCCCATCATGGAGATGT